TTACTCACATTTTGCTTGTTTAGGGATCCATAATTCATAGCCTAATAGTATCACCAGGACAGTTTTGATCTTAAAAAATGGGAGCTTTTGTATTAGGGAATAGCTTAGGATCATTGGAAGTTTATATTAATTTAAAAATGCAGTCTAACCTGCTTTTTTTTCTCTTTATTTTCCTGAGGCAATTGAGGTTAAGTGACTTACTCAAGATCACACAGCTAGTAAGTGTCTGAGGCCAGATTTGAGCTCGGGTCCTCCTCACTCCAGGACCAGTGCTCTATCCACTGCACCATCTAGCTGCCCCTCTCCTATTGAATTTTGACCTAGCTTCCTGTTTGTTTTCAGTGCCTGGGCTATACATATTTACTGATAACTTAACTTATTGGACTACCTACAATTGCATGTCATACAGTGAAGAGCAGTATCATAGATTTAGGGTTGGAAGGGACCTTAGAGGTAGTCAAGTACAATAACCTTATTGTACAGATGACTAAACAGAAGCCCTAAAAGATGAAATGACTTATTTAAGCTTGTACAGGTGGTGGAACCCAAAATTCAAATGTCAGTTCTCTGAATCCAAATTCAGGTCTAGGTATCCCACATTCTTTTTTTCCTTCTCATTCTTTGTTTCTCCTCACTTTGAAGTTTTAGACTACTCTGTTGTGGTCACGGATCCTATTTCAGAAGTTCTGTCCTGTCCTGGCATTTTACAAAATGAAGCAAGTACTATACTTTTCCCTCTACATCCCAAAAAAAAATCCTGACCCTTCAAATCTTTTATGTATAATCCTTTGGTGACAATTTGGAAACCAAAATGTGTTGGTTTTGTTTTATTTTGCAAATGAAATCATTTTGATACTACCACTTGTCAATTTCCTTTGGCCAAGTAGTGGTTTTTTTCTTCTTCTTCTTCTTCTTCTTTTTTTTTTTTTTTTTTTTTTTTGCATTTTGGTGAGGCAATCAGGGTTAAGTGACTTGCCCAGCGTCACACAGCTAGTAAGTATCATGTGTCTGAGACTGGATTTGAACTCACGGCCTCTTGACTACAAGGCCGGAGCTCTACCCACTGTGCAACCTAGCTGCCCCTCTTTTTTTAAAAAATTATTATTAAATGGCTTCTGCGCTTTGCTAGGTGCTGTGGGTAACAGGCATTTAGAGAGGTTGTTATGCTAATTTCTACAAGTTTATTTGACAGAATTCTTGGTGGACATTTTTGCTTCCAACATCAGATGATAAAATCATAAAAATATTGTTTTATAAGATATTTGGAAAGCTCAAAGGGTCAAAAAGTCTTTGTGAAAGCCTTCTAGGTAGCCTGTGGAAAAAAAAAACCTGAACAAGTCAAAATACCATAGCCAAATGAATAATAAGGGAAGAATGTATAGTTCACCCAGTCATCTTCAGGGATCATTATCATTGTTTACCATCTTTAAAGAAAGTCTCAGAAATTAAGCAAAAGGTTAGTAGCTGTTTCCAATTTGTTCCTTTTTTGGCTGTTGCCTATAGAACTTTTAAATGCTTGGAATACTTGGAATATAGTTCTAAGGCAGGTCACTTTAACATTTGCTTCATTCTTTTATTTTTCGTGTGTTGTAATTCAAGCTTTATTGCTTGGTGCTCACTACATGCATATTGCCCAAGAAAAGAAATATAAGACTCAGTCATTGTCCTCTAGAAGGCTATAGTCAAGCTGGAAAGATTATGCTCATGAAACCATTTAAATGACATTTCACAAGGAAATACTGAATCAAGCAGAAATGAACGTATTAAAAGTCAAGATCATCAGCTTTCAGAATAAGAGAATTGTTGCTGCATGAGAGATACTGCAGAAGACCATAAATGGGAAATGGAATTTGGTAGAAAAGGGGGTCAGGGAAGATGGGATTTAGATAGGCTGAGGGAAAAGGGACTGTTGTGAATAGAGGCTTGGACACATGATTATAGGACTATGAAATGCCATCCTGTCCACAAAAAAAGCTGAAATGAAAGCCAGGGTTGGAGACAGTAATAGATTGGGGATTACTTGGTTAAGTGTTAGAGAAACCAGTTAGGAGGCAGCCATCTTGAAATAATGATGGTCTGGACTAAAGATGGTGGCAATATTGTTAGATACAAGAGTCATTTCTTAGGAAGAACTGACAACATGTGGTGAATGATTGGCTAAGGATATGAATAATCAAGGAAAATCTACAGATGACTTTGCAATCTAAAGCTTGATTGACTAGGAGAGTGGTGGTGTTATTAGCAGAAATAGAAATATTGGGACAGTGTCCATCCTCGAAGGTAAGTTCCACTCTAAGCTCTTTGTGATGGTCACAGATTCCTTAGTAGATTCCCGAATTAATAGGATTTTCTGTGTAATTGTAATATTACTATGCTTATGTGGAGTTTTTCTTTGTTGATTTTTTTTCTGGGTGTTCATGACTTGCATTTGCCAAGCTTTAAAATTTTTTACCCATTCTTTAAATAATCTCATAAAAGCCCCTTGTCTGCTAGGGACTTTGAAAGCAAGCGCCCCACCCTTAGAGTTGGCATGGTGCATCTTTATCCATGGTCTTGAAACCAATCACCCAAGGCAATGTCTGCTTTATTACTGTCATGTGGAATTTTTATATACACCCATATTGAGTGTTTTGTCAACATAAATCAAATATCTTACCGTTAGTGCACTTCAGTTTTTTAATTTCAAATATTTCTTAAGGGATGCATGGAAACTGAATTTTTCAAAAACACATTTTTATTGGAATTTTTTTCCCTGAACTTAAACACCAAATAAAATGAACATTTCCATAAGAACAGAAAAAAAAACAGAATTGCGCATGAAACTATGACAATGTATTATGTGTTCCTTATTTTTCCTTTCAAGTACATGATGAATTCAAAATATAACATTCACACCCACACACAAATAACTTTCAGCATATAACCCTACTTGTCTATATTTCCTTCTGTTTTCTTGCGTGCATTTTTTTAAAACAATGGCTTCTGTGATTCTTTTTTCCCCCAAACCTTTTTAGCCTCTTTCTTTCTTCCAAGACCAGCCCACCCCATTACCAACAAAGCCCAACAGCAAGAGATAGAAAGAGAAATTCCATTTAAAGTTACTGTAGACATTATAAAATATTTAGGAGTCTACTTACCAAAACAAACCCAGAAACTATATGAACACAATTACAAAATGCTTTTTACACAAATAAAGTCAGATCTAAATAATTGGAAAAATATCAGTTGCTCCTGGGTAGGCCAAGCAAATATAATAAAAATGATAATTCTACCTAAGCTAATTTACTTATTCAGTGCCATACCAATCAAACTACCAAAAATTATTTAATAGAGCTAGAAAAAAATAATAACAAGATTCATTTGGAATAACAAAAGGTCCAGAATATCAAGGGAACTAATGAAAAGAAATGCAGGGGAAGGTGGCCTAATCATCCCAGATCTTAAATCATATTACAAAGCAGCAGTCATCAAAACTGCTTGGTACTGGCTAAGAAATAGAGTGGTGGGTCAGTGGAATAGGTTAAGTATGAAAGACACAGTAGGCAATGAGTATACTAATCTACTATTTGATAAACCCAAAGACCCCAGCTTCTGAAATAAGAACTCACTATTTGACAAAAACTTCTGGGAAAACTGGAAAAGAGTATGGCAGAAACGAGGCATAGACCAAAATCTCACACCATATACCAAAATAAAGTTAAAATGGGTTTATGATTTAGATATAAAGGATGATACTATAAGCAAACTGAGAAAGCAAGGAATAGTTTACCTATCAGATCTATGGAGAACAGAAGAATTTATGACCAAACAGGAGATAGAAAACATTATGAAATGCAAAATGGATAATTTTGATTACATTAAATTAAAAAGGTTTTGCATAAACAAAGCCAATGCAACCAAGATTAGCAGGGAAGCAGAAAACTGGGAAAGAATTTTTATAACCAGTCTCTCCAATAAGGGTCTCATTTCTAAAATATATAGAGAACTAAGTCAAATTTATAAGAATACAAGTCATTCCCCAATTGATAGATGGTCAAAGGATATGAACAGGCAGTTCTCAGATGAAGAAATTAAAGTCATCTACAGTCAGGTGAAAAAATGCTCCAAATCACTATTGATTAGAGAAGTGCAAATCAAAACAACTCTGAGGTACCACATCACACCTATCAGATTGGCCAACATGACAAAACAGGAAAATGATAAATGTTGGAGAAGATGTGGTAAAATTGGAACACTAATGCATTGTTGGAGTTGTGAACTGATCTAACCATTTTGGAGAGCAAATTGGAACTATGCCCAAAGGGGTATAAAAATGTGCATACACTTTGACCCAGCAATAGCACTTCTAGGGCTATATCCCAAAGAGATCATAAAAAATGGGAAAAGGACGCACATGTACAAAAATATTTATAGTCGTTCTTTTTGGGGTAGCAAAGAATTGGAAATTGAGAGGATGCCTATCAATCGGGGAATGGCTGAACAAAATGTGGTATATGAATGTAATGGAATATTACTGTGCTATAAGAAATGATGAGCCGGCAGACTTCAGAAAAACCTGGAAAGACTTGTATGAACTGATGCTGAGTGAAGTGAGCAGAACCAGAAGAACATTGTACACAGTAATAGCCACGTTGTGTGTTGACTTAATATTGATAGACTAGGTCTTCTCAGCAATGCAAAGATCTAAGACATCTCCAAAAGTCTCATGATGGAAAATGCTATTCACATCCAAATAAAGAACTATAGAGTTTGAACGCAGATCGAAGCATACTATTTGATACTTTTTTTCTTCTGTTTTGTTTTGTTTCCTCTTTCTGGTGCTTTCTCCTATTGGTTCTAATTCTTCTTTACAACATGACTAATGTTGACCCAACTCTTTATTTAAATGCCTGAAAGTTTCTCATCTTGAACAGTCATGCAATTTACAAATAATGAAATGATCCTCCAGTAGAAACCTGCTGATGGAGATGCTCTCTTCTGTTTTTCTCTCCTTGACACAGTTGAAATGTTACCACAAAAAGTATCGATCTGCTACCCGTGATGTCATTTTCCGCCTGCAGTTTCACACAGGAGCCATTCAGGGCTATGGACTGATGTTTAGGAAGGAAGATCTGGACAATGCCAACAAAGGTAGAATTCTGAGAGTTCTGAGTTCTCTGGTGTGTATACTAGGTGTCTGACAGTAAGTGTACACAGTTAGGAATTGCTGGTCCCTGTGCTCCCTTGGTTCATTCTCCATGCCCTAAGGTTTCAATGTCTGTGTCCTGTTGATGACATGCTGATTTTTAATCTGGTCAAATGCTGCCTATAAAAGAAAGAAATCACCAAACATTTTGGCTTCTGACCAGACACTTCACTCTTACTAGCTGTGTGACCCTGGAAAAGTCACTTAACCACAATTGCCTCACCCCCCCCCCCAAAAAAGGAAAGAAAATAAATCACCAAACATTTTAAAAGAAAAATGATTTCATATTTATTCTTTACTTTTAAAAAATAGTATCATGTTTCTTTTTTAGAGAGAGGCATTGTGTGATAGTGAATAGAAGGCTGGTCTAGGTTTCAGGAACACCTGGGTTCAAATCACATGTTTGATAAATACTGGTTGTATGACCAACAGCAAGTCACTTAACTTCTCAATACTGCAGACATCTCTCTAAGATCCCAAGTTGCAGAACAGTGGATGATTTGCTTTGGGAGAACTGATTGAAATTAGCAGGTAGGAAATGGAGAGAAGACAACTTTCTGTAATGGAAAACATTTCCTCTTTGAAATATAAGTGGAGGACAGAATAGATAAAAATTAAGATTTCTTCTCTCTGCTTTCACTTCTTAATTTCTGAATGCATTTGTGTTGTTCTTTTATTTCAGATGACCGTTTTCCTGATTATGGAAAGATTGAATTAGTCTTTTCTGCTACCCCTGAGAAAATACAAGGTAAGCATTTAATGTAAGAAATAGTTATTTGTGTTTTAAGTTTATTTTAAAGTGAAAACTAAAAATAATCTTCCTTTCCTAGAAGGAATTTTGTACCTTCAGAATCAGAGTATACTTATATGTGAATGCGAGTTTTATTAAATAGGAAATTATTTTCTATTAGTATTAGTAACCCCCATTCTTTCCCGCACCCCTCTTTTTTTAGTATCACAAAATCTGATGTAGAAGAAGACTTCAGAGATCATTTAGGCTAACTGGAACTCGAAGTCATAAAATAAAAATTTCTTTGGCATTTTAAAATAATTTCAAAGAGGTAGAATGGGTTTGCAGTTAGAAGATTTGGTTAAAACCTTGGTTCTGTCACTTAAGATATTTGACTTTGGACAAGCCACAACCTCTATGGCCCTCAATTGTAAAATGAATAGGTTGATACTAGGTTCCCTTCTGGCTCTAAATGTGTGATATATGAAAGAAAAAAAAAACAAAACAAATAACACCAACAAACAAATAATCAAGAACCAAACACCTCCCCGTCCAAAAAACAACAACAACAACAATAAAAAAAATATGAAATTAAAAAACCTCGCTGTCACAGCACTAACTTTTGGGGTTTGTCATGTTTTTTCCCTTGACTGTCTCAAAAATTGTGCCCTACCCTCTTTAGTAATATTGATGAGAAGCTACTTGGTTCTGACTCATCAGTTCACTTCTACCCTTTAGAGTGGTAAGCCCACTGGAAATATTTGCCTCTCTCATAACTGACGATAAAAGAAACCTCTTCTTTCACTTTTGACAACCTGATTTTGTCTTTGTCCTCTATCCAAGGGTCTGAACATTTACAGAATGACCATGGAGTCGTTGTGGATTACAACACTGCAGACCCATTGATCCGGTGGGATTCTTATGAAAATATGAGTCCTGATGGGGAAGGTGAGTTTAGCTGGCTTTTATATAAAATCTTCAAATGGAGTGGCTTCTCTTTAGCATAAAATAAATGAGGTGGCCAAAAAGAAGCAGAGAAGGAAACAGTTCACTGCTTAACGAAAACAGATCCACTGCCTATTGACAAACTTAGAAGATTTAATCTCAATATATTTACAGAATCCAAAAGTCATGGAAATGCATGACACAGCCATAGATTTTTGAGAGTTCATGAAAAACATGTTGCTTGGATTTTGGTCAGAGTTTTGCAAAGCTGTAAATAGTGGGTAGCCAGTCAATGAAGTATATATAGGAACTTCTCCTAAAATTGCATGTTTGTAAGTTGCTGGGGATCTTTATCCCTTAAAATACCCTCCCTTCCTGTTTATATAAACAGCATGGTCTGCTATATCTTAAGTAATGGATTATGATTCCTTCTGTAACCCAATGAACCAAATATACAGGGTATTCCAAAAAGTCTTAGAAATATGTTAAGCATTAGTAGATTAAAATTACACTAAGGCTTTGGGGATACCCTGTATTTAGTTCTTATTTCCAGAACTTTGATCATCTAATGTTAGACATTTGGAGGTATGGCTTTGTGTTTTTTTTTTCCCCCTTGACTCATCTAGATGTACTCTCTGTACTCACACTATAATATATGGCATTACAAGTAAAAACATGGGAAAAAACTGAAAGAATGAGGTGACAGTTCTCTACAGAATCAAGCAAGCAGAGTGTAGATTTCAACAGATGAAATCACAGTGGTTCTGATCTAGTTCAGGGTATCTTTCATCTCTTGTGAGTCATTGTTTGAGAATCAGGTTGGGTTGGAGAGAGTAAAGAAAAACACTTGTCAAATTGCTTCTCCCAGGAGCGAAGTAAACAAAAGGAAGACGTTTTGTGATTGAACAAGATAGCCTGTGTTGTTGCTCTATAAGCGGGCGGGGAGGTTGCTGTGTCCCTAGGTAATAGTGTTAGCCACTAATCGACATGACTGCTTTCTCCTAATGGTGTCTACAACTGCTCCTTCAGGAGATGGGGAACTTTTATTGAGGTGGCTAACTTATAGATTTGACATTATAAACATGTCTGTATGTAGTAGGAGTAGCTGTTCTTTCAGGATTCTATCATTTTGTCTAGATGAAGTAGAGCTGGATGAGGAGTCAGGAAGACTGGCTTCTAATCATCATCATCATTGTTATCATTGCTTAGTTAGGCCCTGGGAGGGAGACAGTGTTTGAAGTGTTGCATGCTAGCAAACATTCATGATGTGCAGGGCAGAGACCTTCACCAATTTCCTCAAGCTAGTTAAAGGGATATTATTACATTTGGCACTACTACCACCACCACCACCACCATCATCATCATTATCATAACTAACATTTAGCACTTTAAAGTTCACAAAGCACTTTACATGTACTATCTCATTTGATCCTCACTACAGTCCTGGGAGGTAGGTACTTTTATTATCTCTGCTTTATAAATGAGGAAACTGATTATAAGAGGTTAAATGACTTACCCTGGGACACACAGCTGTGTCTCAGGCGGGATTTGAACTCAGGACTTCCTGAGTCCAGGTTGATCTCCCCATCTACTATGCCTTATTTCCTTTGCTATTGTTATGTACAGTTAACATGGCACAGTGAACAGAATGCTGGGCTTGGGGTGAGGAAAGCTTGGGTTCAAATTCTGCTTCTGATAGATATAATATGATCCTGGTTCTATGGTCCTGGGTATATAACTTAATCTCTATCTAAGTTAAGCTACTCCATCTCTACAATGTCATAGAAGGATGGTGATCTGTTCTGGTGGAGAGTTCCTTGTGCTACTGAAATCATAGATCCTCCATATTGTTTTATTGTTATTGTTAGGACTGCATTCCTTTGTTCCCTGTGTTGGAGAATTTAACATCTCCCTTACATGGTCACTGATTCCTAAAGTCCAGCAAAAATGCTTCCTTCTACTTGTCAACTATTTGAATAGGAAATGAATGAGATCCCTGCTCCATCCTTTCCAGAATTCTGGTGGCCATTTAGGCCCTGGGAGGGAGACAGGATAGGAAGTGTCTAGCGTTGGTGAAAGGAGTGCATTCATGGTGTGCTGGGCAGAGACTCTCACCAATTTACTCAGGCTGGTTAAAGGGATATCATTACTGGCATAACACTTCAACAGCCAAATCATGAATCATGCTTGCTTAGAATGAGGGAATTCTCTGCTTTGGGCCCAGAGAAAGATCTTTTTTTCTTCTTCTTCTTATTTTGTACACTTAGAAGATGCCTTCAGTTAAATATACTTAGTTGAAAACGATATTTAGTTTTTTTTCTTTTCATTTTCCATACACAGATAACTCATAGGCCGTAGGAGCATAGATCATAGTACTTTGAACTATGAATTTGAATTTAAAATAGTCAATTAGAGATCAGTCAGTCTGATACCCCAGTTTTTAGAGGCTGTTGAGAAGCACGTGTCATGGTGCTTGGAGCACTGTACTCAAAGTTAAGAGCCCTGGGCCCACATCCAACCTCGGGCATTCTCAAGGTAGAAAGAGTTCAAGGAGTGTCAGGACTCCAGTGCCTAGTTCTGAGTCAGTGCTTAAGAAATGTTTGTTGTACTTTAAGCATGGGCCTGGCTGTGGACTGCATGACTGCTGTCAGAGGACCAGAATAGTTTCCCCGTCCCCCCCCCATCCCCCCGTTAGTAGTTCTCAGAGATAATCTACAAAGTCCCAAAGGGGTTATGATCTGTCTTGTTGGTGATAATGCCCCATCGTGGCATTCGGGAACCTTTAAATTATTGAAGAAAAAGAAAACTCCATTTTATCCTTAGCTCTTTCAGAGAAGTTGGAAATTTGTATTTCTCCTCATCAAAATCAGAGATGGGGGGGGTGAATGTACATGGAGTGGTGAGGGCTAAACCAGTTACACCAGTTACTCAGTTCCTGGCACATAGTAAGCACTTAATAAATGCTCTATCTCTATCACTTATCTCTATGGTATTTCTCTTTCTATTGCTATTACCTATCTATCTCTATCTCTATCATCTAATTCTCTATTGCTATCTCTATCTTAACTATCTCAATTATCTATCATCTAGCTATCCATCCATTTATCCATCATCTCTCATCTATCTTTGACAAAGTTAAGGGAAATCTGGTTCCCCTTTTGACTTCTGATTTGCTTCTTTCCTTTCTTTTTTTCCTTTAACTGCTGCTGCTGTGTAAGTATTCCATGCTTCAAAATTTAAACTTAAAGAATGTGAGATCTTAGGCAGAATAAAAGTGAGAAAAAGAGCTGCCTACTAATGATGGGAGGAGATTCTCTTAGCAGTGAGTTTCCTTTTTTCTACTGATGCTTTTTCCATGCCCTTCTCCAGCCTCCTCCATCCCCTTGACAACTAGGTGGTACAGCAGATGGAGTCCCAGACCTGGAATCACCAAGATTTGACTTCCAATCCCATCTCAGACATTGACTAGCTGGGTGATCCTGAGCAAGTCACTTAACTTGTCTCTGTTTTACTTTCCTCTTCTGTAAAAAGGGGATAAGAACAGCATCTCTCTGAGGGTTGTTGTGGGGATAAAATGAGATAATATTTGTAAAGTCTTTTGTAAATCTAGCTAAGATTGTTATTGTTATCATCATCATTATTATTATGCTTTCTCTCTTTCTCTTATGGTTATTGTTATCATCATTGTTATTATTATGCTTCCTCTGTAGCCTGTAACATATGTTACAATGTATTGTTGCTTTACCATTTTACATACATATCATTTCTTCTCAACTGTGTGGGAAGCCCCTAGAAAGGGAAGAGCATCTCAGTATTTTGCATTGCCAGGACCTCCTGCAGGGGAGTAGGTAACCTGAAGATACTTACCAATGATGCCATTCTACTCACTGCAGAAACAGCCAAGCCAGATAGCAGTGCACATTGTGAGATCATCTTCCCTATGAATTGAAATGAGAATTTATTAGTGATATTTCAGGAGACAAAAGCGTCATTTAAATATATGTTTTATTTTCAGTTTTGGAATGAGAGGAGGAAGTGTGGCATAATTGCTTGTCTTAGGACTGGAAAACCTGGGTTTAAATCCCACACCTGATGTGAATAACATTTGTGACTCTGGGCAAGTCCCTTGGCTCTATCATGTGCCTCATTCTTTAGTACTTATCTCTTAGGGCATAGAGGGCCGAGTGGAGGATGGAAGCTATACCTGAAGTTACTTACAGGAAGAAAATTACAGATTCTTCCTTTATCTACATATTAGAATGAGGTATAGGTATCTCAATGATTCAAGACTTACAAACTTGAGCTTTCAGGAATCATTTGGTCCATTATGTTTTAGAAAATTTGACATTTTGCCTTGCTGCAGTAATGAAGGATATCTGTCTTACAGTTGGACCTTACAGCAAAGGTCCAATAAAGAAGTGTTTAACTATCAACAGTATTGCATTGACCATTATCGGTACCACATCTCCATCTCTCCTTCTACCTTGGCTAGATCTGGGGGAGCAAACTCTGTCTCGTTGTGAACCTTTTTAGGAGAATTTTTAGTCGTGCTCACTTTAATAGACAGAAGTCTTTCCTCACTGGTTCAGTGCTGCCTTTGTTATAAATATCTTTTTCTCCTAGGTGAAAAGCACTCGTTGATGTTCAGGAATGTATCCATGCCCTATGATTTCATTCGACATTTGACTTCTTTTCCTTCATTTTTCCTGTCCTCCTCAATGTCAAGTTAATAGCTGTTGAACAGGGAGTTGCCTTCTTGGGTAGTGAAACATTTGCTTTCCCTGTGGGCCCCTTCAGTGTTGCAATACCAAGGGTTGGTGGGACTGCTTGGATTGGTTACTTTTCACAGGAATGCCAATGTCTCACAATTAGAGCAGGGTAGAAGCTGTTTCTGGGGAGCTCTTTTTTGACTACATTTTTGGTGATGAAAGCAACTCCAGCTTTGGTCCTTGAATGTGTGTAAAGCTTTGAAAAATAAAGGATGGCGGGCCAAAAGAAGTTTG